CGCTCAACCAACTGAGCCACCCAGGCGCCCTAGAAGCTGTTTTTAAACTAACATTATACCTTCATTCGCCTGAGAGCCTTTTTTGTGTGTGTTTGTGTTCATCTTTAATGTTCTTATTTTGTGTTTAATAGGCTGAAACAAGCCAGGGAGCTCTGGGTACACTGGCAAATGTAGTAACCTCTCTTGCCAACTTAAGTGAATCCCTGAACAATGGTGACACTTCGGAAATGCAGCCGGAGGACCAGTCTGCGAGTGAGATTACTCGGTATGATGCCATGAGTGTGGAGGCTCCCCCGTGACGTGCACACTTCAGTTGTTGCTGCAGGAGGGCGGGTGGCAGCATTTGACACCCACCCTGTTTTTATTCAGGGATTGTAAAATCGTCACAGTGTTCCTGCACATCTGTCCTCTTTCACCTTTTAACTATGGGAACATGGACCCATTTATATTACGTGATAGAAAACAATCAAAACTGCTTTTCATTCCAAACAATGATAAAGGAAATGGAGTGATTCAGTGGAAGCAGGGAAAACCCTTCAGTAGACAGGTGTTACTTATATCAGTCTTTGTTTATTTTGACTAAATATTAGTAGTTTGTCCCCTTTCCCACTTCTGTTTTAGCCAATTTTTCTCATGTATATTTTTTTCCAAGTAGTCTAGAACTTCAGTCCATCAGGGTGTTACTGACAGATGGCATTAGCTGATCCCAGACACCCGTAACTGGCTGCAGGCAGCGTTTCTTCCCTGTGGCCTGGCTCTCGTGTTTGCCCCTTCCCTGTGGGACTGGCCACTCCTGCCCATCTTGCCAGGCCACACAAGCACCCTGGTCCTCATATTCTCTTGCGGCCTGATAGCAAAATTAAGATCTAGATCCAATGGAAAGAGAATGGGATTTGAGTTGCGTAGAGTTCTGGTTCCACCACTCACTGGGTGGTTGGTATTAGAAAAGTTATTTAACATCCCTAAGCCTGAGCTTTCATATCTGTAAAACAGAGAGGGTTTTACCTTGGAGAGTAGTTGTGAAAAATAGAAATTATGTGTGAAAATAAATACTATATTGCTCAGTGCCCACGATGATGTATAGACCGTACACAGAAGTTCTCATTACCCCTTCCCCCAGCAGGTAGACGTGAATGATCTTTTCCCTATCACCTTGTTTTTCTAGATTAGGTCTCAGCTAGAGTTCTGTTCCTCCTAAAAGCTGGGGATTCACAACACTGCCTGCTTCATTTTTGCTTACAGGGCATTTGATACCTTAGCTAAAGCACTTAATACCACAGACAGCTCCTCACCTCCAAGCCTAGCAGATGGGATAGACGCCAGTGGTGGAGGGGGCATCCATGTCATCAGCAGAGACCAGTCCACACCCATCATCGAGGTCGAAGGGCCCCTCCTTTCAGACACTCATGTCACATTTAAGGTGAGTGCATTCAGCCTAATCACATACCCCAGCCTCCCCAGCCTGCAGTTTGAAGCTAAAATCTTGCAGTGAGTTCATTTTCGTATTGTTGGCTTTTGTTTGGATCCAGACCTTGTGTTCCAGAACAGTATTCTCATTAGAAAGAATTGTCACTTATGTTTTGCTCACAGTGTTTTGCCTCTGAAGGTAACTCACCCTGAAGCAAGTGTGGCCTATCCTTGCCAGGTGGGGCTGACATGGTGCTGCCCATCGAGGGCTTTTAGTGGACTACTCTGCCTCTTCTGCTTTCTGGGATGGCCTGGCTCCAGCATAGGCTCAGGCAGGCACCTGTGTTTGCTCCAGCATGCACACAGCCAGCCCTCATTCCTAACCACTGGTCCTGACTGCTTGCTGTCTGGAGCCACAGAAAATAGACCTCCTACCTCCTTGAAGAAGGCTGTCTTCCCCACATGCTCCTTCACTGGCCTCACTTCCGAAAGACAATGCCAGGTTCCCCAAAGCCCTCTCAGTTTCTAGGGCTACAGACTATGTCTTCCTGTTCCCCCATTGTTCTTTACTAGAGAGTCCTGACCAATCACTTAGGAAGACTGGGTCCCTGCTCATAGTTCCCCACCAGTGCCAAGAATATAGGTCACCAGTGGGATTCCAGCATCAAAGGCATTAATTCTCCTTCTGGACAGTGGAGCTCTGGAGCCCAGTCCTGAACATTCTGGTGGTGGGATCTCATCCTCCCACCACATAGGCTTCTGCTCAGCTCTCACTCACTGCTACCCTGAGGCCACCTACCAAATGCCTACTAGCCATGAAGTTGATCCCTATTACCCGACTTAATTTAGATTTTAACCTATGGCTCAAAATGGAATTGCCTTAGAAGAAATACCAATTTAGCTGAGGCAAGAGTTGAAGAGTATGTGCTTTGTGTGAGTGACCTGGGAGGTCACCATCATTGACCACATTCCAAGTGCCATCAGAGCCTAGTTCACTGGGCAAGAGATGACGGGGCGTTGGTGCCAGCCCCCCGCTGCAAAGGACATGGGCTTCATAAGGATGGGTCTGCACAGGAACTTCAGCATCAGAGATCATCACAATTCAGGCTCTCATAGTTGTTGAGACGTGACAGCAGTTCATGTTGACAGACAAAGCCATGCCCTGTCTCTCCGTCACCTCCTGTGCCGTGTGCCTCCTCTTCTCCAGCTCACGATGCCCAGCCCGATGCCAGAGTACCTCAACGTGCACTACATCTGCGAGTCAGCATCCCGCCTGCTTTTCCTCTCCATGCACTGGGCCAGGTCAATCCCAGCCTTTCAGGCACTTGGGTAAGTGGCCTTTTTCTCTATATGTATCCTTCGGCAAGAGCCTTCTCCTTGTTAGGAATGGCCTGGAAGGTATCTGAGGGCCCTTCTAGTTTGCACCTAGGATCTTGATCCAGTGACCCTGATTGTCTTATTAAATATACTCTGTGGACTGGGAGCAGAGGACCAAGGCTGCCAGTGCTTCGATGTTCCTCAACTTTTCTCAGGCCTTCTCCATATGCTGAGGACTTGGTGCTAAGAGCCAGGGATGGAGTGGAACAGAAGGCAGGAGTTGTCTGAAATCTTGAAACAAGTAGAGTGAGGCTGCATCTAGGGGCTTCTCAGATAAGGTCATACCGTTCACAGTGAGCTAACCAGGCCATCCTGAGTATAAATCCTCCAAGACAGGGCTGAAAGCTGGCGTGGCTGGCCCCTTTCTCTGCGTGCCAGTGCCGGCCCCTCCCCTGCAGGGCTCACAGGCCCTCTGTCCTTGAGCATAGGTGCGGGCTGTGTCAGAGACCACACTCAGCTCCTAGTCTTTGGATCGCTGCAGCATCTCTAACAGCCACACCAGGGCTGCTGTGGGTTTAGAGGGCTGTAGGAGATGACACTTTAGTCATACCCATCTCGATTTCTCATTACTGAAGTCTAAAGTGTCTTTATTAAGAAAATAGTTTATCCTCAGAGGGATTTTAGTTAAGAGATTCACAGACAGTGGTATTTTTGGAGAATGATCCTGGACATACCACAGACTTTCAAGAAATGCTTGTTGAATCTACTTGTTTGGGGCAAGCTGGGACCTGGAGAATACCAGCATGTACCCACACCCACCCTGACCTTGTGTCCCCAGGCAGGACTGCAACACCAGCCTGGTGCGGGCCTGCTGGAACGAGCTCTTCACCCTCGGCCTGGCCCAGTGTGCCCAGGTCATGAGTCTCTCCACTATCCTGGCAGCCATTGTCAACCACCTGCAGAACAGCATCCAGGAAGGTAGGGCTGGGGCTGTGGGGGAGTGTGTCTTGGTTCAGGCCGGCCCCTTGCAAACTGGCCGGCCACAGCGTCCCACAGCTTCCACAGGCTGAGGGTAGCTTAACTTTTAAGTCCTGGGGCCTTTACCAGTGAGAACATTGAAATTTCCACCTGTCTTCTTTTCATACAAGAAATATGAAAGGAAAAAAAAAAAGATAATTGAAAAAGTTGCCAGCTTCCTGATACATAGGTATTTAGTGATGTTTTCAGAATAATCACAGCTTACACTTTCATCTTGATTGACAGGTATAAATGGAAGAAACTAGTTTTTCACTTGTGTGGGTGAAAGAAAAAAACCTAGTTCTTCTGTACTGTGTTTCTCTACCCTGCGTGTCTCCTTTACTACTCACACAGAACACTTCTGACATGTGTGGTCACCAGTGTGGGGGTGTTTTCCCCACAACAGGCAATTCTCTGAGACACCACCTGGGTATACAACAATTTAACTCCATTCTGACACTGTCAGACATAGTGTCAGATCCCACAGGTTAAGGGCTCAGTCCCATGAGACCCTCCCCCCCACACACACACACACGTGTCCAGGCTATCACTTGTGCTTCTGACCAACCTGCTATATAGACTAGAAGTTGTAGCAACCCTCGGGTTGGATAATTCACTAGCATAGCTCACAGAACTCAAGGATAGAGGATACAGATGAACAGCCAGATGAAGAGATACATGGCGTGAGGTCTAGGAGAGTCTCAAGCACAGGATCTTCTGTCCCTGTGGACTTGGGGTGCTTTGCCTTTCCGGTGTGCATGTGTTCACCAACCTGGAAGCTCTCAACCCCATATTGGGATTTTATGGATACTTCCTATGTAGGCATGATCAGTTATTAAGTCCATTTCTAGCCCCTCTCCCCTCTCTGCAGGATGAGGGATGGGACTGGAAATTCCAAGCTTCTGAGCGTGCTTTAGTCTTTCTAGGGGCCATTAGGGGTCCCACCCAGAGTCACCTCAGTGGAACAAAAGATGCTCCTAGTGGTCTTAACATGTAAGAATTTACAAGGGTTTTAGGAGCTCTTTGTCAGGGATAGGGTCAAAAAGAAATATTAGACCAAGAGATGCTGCTAATGCTCTTATCCCTTAGAAATTACAAGGGCTTCAAGAGCTCTGTGCCAGGAACCGGGGGGCAGAGACCAGCATACATACTTTCTATTCTCTCACAATGGGTTGCGCTTTCCCATGTAACAAGTTCTCACAGCCTTAGAGGGACTGTGATTGCAGTCAGGGCCTTGATTTGCCCCAAGTGAAATAGCAAGTAGAAGAGTTGGGCACAAATCTGGCCACGCAGGACTTAGTTGCCTCACCCACTTCTCTCGTGAATGAACGTGTTACTCTCTTCTAGAAAGATTTGTGGCAACCGTCTAACATCTGGTGGCCCAGTCCCAACTGCATCCGGACCAGGAGATAGCCAGTGCGGTCCCTCCACATACTCTGAGCCCAAAGTGCACCAAAGACACGGTCTCAAGGGAGCATGCCCAGCATTCAGGACTAATACTTGATGCTAAATTGCAGTTGAGCTGCACTTTTAATTAGGCATTCGAGATGTTTGATTATCTAGGAATCGAGTGACCTAGTTACAACTTTATCTGGTTATTCCTTTGGAATAGTAATATAACATTTGGTTGCATTTAAGTTAGATTTGTTCACAAGTGAGGATTAGCTATCATTCATTCATTCATTCATTCATTTATTCATTTATTTATTTATTTTGAGAGAGAGAGAGTGGGAGAGGAGGGGCAGAGAGAGAGAATCCTAAGCAGGCTCCACACCCAGCAAGGAGCCCAGCGCAGGGCTTGATCTCACACCCCTGAGATCATGACCTGAGCCAAAATCAAGAGTCAGACACTTAACCAGCTGAGCCACCCAGGCACCCCTTAATTACCCTTTATTTTTAATTGCATGTGATAATACTAATATCTTCAGCACATATTATCAGGAAGATTAAAACAGATAACATATAAAAATGGTTTTCACAACTAAAAAATGTGAGCATTTAAGGGTCAGGTCCATAAACCTTTATTAAATGCCTGCAGAGACTTTAGAGAGCCTGACCACTGATAAGAATTGACTTACGGGGGTGCCTGGGTGGCTCAGTCATTAAGTGTCTGCCTTCGGCTCAGGTCATGATCCCAGGCTCCTGGGATTGAGTCCCACATCAGGCTCTCCGCTCAGCGGGAAGCCTGCTTCTCCCTCTCCCGCTCCCCCTACTTGTGTTCCCTCTCTCACTGTCTCTCTCTCTCTGTCAAACAAATAAATAAAATCTAAAAAAAAAAAAAAAAAGAGTTGACTTACGGGTCTTAAGCACAGAATAAAAGGAACTATCAATTTGCATCTATAGGCCCTACCCCAAAGTAGGGCCAGGGAGAATCAGTGGTCTAGGGGTTTGTTACTGAGACAGAATATACGGCAGAGTGGCATTTGGGTATACCTATTGTCACTTCACCTTCACCTGGAAAATGAGGCTCCTAACCATCTTAAGGTAACTGCTTTTCCATTAAAAAGTGAAATTATTTTCTCTTTCAATCTGTGGCTCCTCGAAGCTCATGTCATTGTTCTTACCAGCTTTTCTCAGGGGATCTGTGATGTTCTTTTCTAGATAAACTTTCTGGAGACCGGATAAAGCAAGTCATGGAGCATATCTGGAAGCTTCAGGAGTTCTGTAATAGTATGGCGAAGCTGGATATAGACGGCTATGAGTATGCATACCTTAAAGCTATAGTTCTCTTTAGCCCTGGTAAGATATGTGGTGGGGACTCACAACAGTTTTCTATCTGTGTCTGCTGATATTTCTGAACATGAACTTGTCAAGTCATGAGCCAGATTGTTTGTGACCGAATATTCTCCTAATAGGTGTGCTTTGCTAGCTAACATAAACACATTCTTTTAAATTGTTGCCTTTACAGTCCCAAAGATATGCCGTGGTTCCTGGTGACTTCGTATGTTGAATAGATTTCTTCTGTATCCTAATTTAAACCATTGGCCAAACAAGACTTTGGCATACTACCATCCAGTGTCCTTTTTTTTTTTTTTTTTTAAATTCATTTGAGACAGAGCATGAGCAGGGGGGAGAGGCCGAAGGAGAGGGAGAAGCAGGCTCCCCACCGAGCAGGGAGCCCAACGTGGGGCTCGATCCCAGGACCTGGAGATCATGACCTGAGCCGAAAGCAGACACCCAGCCGTCTGAGCCACCCAGGCACCCCCTCAATGTCCTTTTGTTTTGATTTCTTTTGCTTTCCTTTTTGCCAGTTTTCAGGTTGTGTTAGCATATGTTCTCCAGTACAGACTGAAAGTGCCCAAATTCAGCTGTCCCTGTAGGGCAGCACCTGAAAAAGAGGCAGCAGGATTGTCCGGCTGGCCTCGCTGCCCCCCTCTCAGCTGTTCTCTCTGAACCTCCAGAGGTCACTCAGGCTGACTGTTGTCCTGCCCTTAATAGTGGGATTTGGGCACAGCTTAACCCTCCCTTCCTCCCCAGCCATCCACTAGTGAATGAAAAAATAGCTAATATAAATGGGAGAAATTATGTGATTAAATACTTAGGAGGTAAATGGTAATTTCTAATCTTGGGTGATAGTTCTAAAATCTCTGTTTTCTAGAGTGGTAGGAAGCCAGATGTCCAGAACCAAGCCAGGTGGGGCTGCTGAGGCTGGTGTGACCACTGAGGAGCCCAGCCCCCTCCTGGGAACCTTCAGGCCTTGGCAGAGTACAGAGCAAAACCCAGTGTTTTAGCAGTAATATCCAAACCAGACCCACCTTCAGGGTTCAATCTGTATTGTACTTGAGAAATTTGTCAGAGGTTTAACTAAAAATAAGTACTAAGAAGTCTGCCAGGTGAGGCTTTCCAAATACACAGGGCAATTTGGGGGCACTTTTCTCTTTTCAGATCATCCAGGTTTGACCAGCACAAGCCAGATTGAAAAATTCCAAGAAAAGGCACAGATGGAATTGCAGGACTATGTTCAGAAAACCTACTCAGAAGACACCTACCGGTGAGGCACACAGATACACGCTCTTGCTGTGGGGCAGGAAGGAGTGCAGTTGCATCTGTAGACACAAATATAAACTGTCAGCCTTCCCACCCCTGGCAGCCTGGTAGAGCCTCCTTTTGATCACATTTTAATTCTTGGATTTCATGGGTGGTAACTGTGGAAAGTGCTAGGTGGGAGGGTCAGGAATCCTGGGCCATTCCAGGGTTGCTGGGTATAAACTGTAGGCAAGACCTCGGGTTGCTCTTCTGTAACATGCTGAGGGGTTGGAATCATTGCTGTGTGGTTTCCTCTGGGGCTAACATTGTGCACAAAGTGGCAGTTCTTGTGGGGACTCTCCTTGCCCAGAAGAGCAGCCCTGCCCCTCTGGCCCACATCCACTGAAGAGGTAGGGCCAGCACACTTCATAGAAAAGTTTTCATTGACAAAAGCCAGACCTGACCTCTACAAAGGAGTGAGTGTGTTATAGAAAATAGTAATTTTGCCCTTAGATAAACTGATTTTTTTAAGTTCCTTTATTTGGGCAAAAAAGTTAATTTTAATGGTTGGGCAGCAAATATGTATGTGTGTACACACACACACACACACACACACACACCTTTTTCATGCAAATCTGAACAGGAAAGTTGTTCTCAAGGCAGAAGGCCTGGGGGGGTTTCCAGCCAAGGAGTGGAGGAGCTCTTTGATCATGACCACTTCCAGCCCACTAGAAGCTACATGAATTACTGAGGTCACGTTAGGCAAACTAATATTTCCTTCCCTGCCCTGTCCCCTCAAAGTAAACACTTGATCACAACTGACCAGGAAGATACATGGCCCCACCTTCCTCAATTTGTGTCGCCTTCACAGACCTCAGTCCATAGGTGCCCCGTGGAATGAAAATGCCCCAGGTCCCAGGAAGACTGTTTCTGTGATGTGACTGGGGGGGTGGGGGTGGGGGGCTGGCCCTGCTGGCAGAGAACCTCCTCTGCTTTAGACACAACTCCATGACCAGACACACCTTTTGCCAAAGCAGGATCCATTTTCTCCTGGAATCGCTGAAAACCTCACCATGACTCTTGAGTAGTAATTCCAGCTTCAGTACACAGGGAATGGGGCAACAGGCCTACTCCCACACAGTGCCCATGGCCAGAAGAGCCTGGAAATGCCTCTCTGGGGGCTGCTGGCACAGCCACAGCACACTAGGGTCATCCTGACAACAGCAACTCTCTGGCCTTGGAAAGTAAGTGTTTCTGAACAAATCCAGTCAGGGACCCAGGGATAGAGGAGATGGCCAGCCAAGTGATTTGGGACCAAAAATGAGGGAAGGGAGGCTTTCTCATGGGACTCAAACTCACTCAAAGACAGTTCTCAAAACAAGGCCCTAGGATCGTTGACCTCTTTTTCTGCATTATTTTTTTTTCTCTTTATGCCTTTTCTCGTACTGTTTGCTCCTCCTGAAATACCTTCCCATTCTTCCCCACTGTTTACATCTCTGCTGAGAGAAACCTCAGCCAGCCTCTAAAGCCCAGCTGATCTCTCTCATGCCACCCCACCTCCCCCAGGAAGTCCTCCCTGTTTTATCTTTGCTGACTTCCCAAGACCCTTCAGCCTGTCAGCCCCTCATGGTCTGTGCTGGTGTCCCCTTACACCTTTGTGTGTCCTGTAAGACTCATGGTGGCTAGACGAATGAAGGATGGTGCTGGAATGCTGCTTGCATAATATGTATATTCTCTTTTAAAAATAACAGTGTTTACTATAGAAAAAAATGAGAACGTTCTGGAAAGTAAAATGAAAACATCCATATAAATACCACCTTTCGTAGATACCTGTTCCAGAAATTTTTTATATTTGTGTAATTGGAATCATAAAATACAAAGTAAGGTTCTGTAACCCTTTTTTCATTTAATGTTCAAGTGAGCATACTTCATCTTTTGTGGCTAAGGAGATGCTGTAATTTCTTTAACACTTCCCCACTGATGAGAATGTAGGTTGTTTCCAGCCCGGGCTGGCCCCGCAGTGAGCTTCTGTGCAGTGACAGGGAACGCCAGTCATATGCTTCAGATACAGCGGCAGTGGCCCACCACAACAGGGTCACGGTGTGCCCTCCCACCCAGGTTGTTTTCAAACTGAAGACAATCTTTTGCTTTATTTTTAATTATAATGCTGTATGAACACTGGGAATTAGGGGAGTACAGGAATACAGAAGAAGTTTAATAAGTAAAAGCACTCCAAATCCCCAAACCCAGAGGCCAACCATTCACATTTTGGTGAACATCCTTCCGAATACTTTTGTATGCACGTCACACAAATAAATCTACACCAGCAAGACTGCCCTGTACTTGCTGCTTCCCATTCTGCTTTTATTCAGCTATACGTCATGGACTGCTTTCCTTATCAGTGACATAGATCTTTTTTATACTTTTTAATGGGTATATAGTGATCTTTTATATGGAGACACACCATACTTTTTAACCTATCCCTTATTGATTTCCAAATTTTTCTTTTTTGGTGGGGATGCGGACAATTGTTAAAAATGAAGGAAACATTTGTACAGATGTCTTTGTACTTAGTTTTGATTTCTTTTTTTTTCCTCATGATAAATTCCTACAAGAGGAACTGTTGAAATTTGAAATACAGGGGGTAGATCATAGGTCTGTTTGGTTTAATTCCAAGCAGTGCAGACAGGGTCCCAGGAGCCTGTCCAGGGAGAAGTCTGAAGGGCAGTGAATCCCCTTTCTCTAAGGACCCTCCCTTTCACAGATTGGCCCGGATTCTCGTTCGCCTGCCGGCACTCAGGTTGATGAGCTCCAATATAACAGAAGAACTTTTTTTCACTGGTCTCATTGGCAATGTGTCGATAGACAGCATAATCCCCTACATCCTCAAGATGGAGACAGCAGAGTACAACGGCCAGATCACCGGAGCCAGCCTATAGTGCGCACCACATGCCTGCAGAGAAGCAAAAGGATCCTCCCAGGACCACTCGGATACAGAGAAAATAAAGTAGTGGTATTTTGGTATGTGCAAATATTTCCAGTATGTTAGCCATTTCCTACCTGGTTTCTTCTTATCTGTTAATCCCAGACAATAGCAACTAAAAGACTAGTAGGATCCTTTCCTGCCATAAGAAATGTTTTAATGCCTTTTGATGAAGCAGATTTTGGAACAATCTTTTAACCCAGTTTGTATTTAGAAATCCTCAAAGGGCAAAAAACAGAGTTTTATAATGTCAGAGACTAGTATTAAAACAAAAAGAACCTAAGAGAACAGTATGTGTGTATATATATTAAAAATGTCCTTGGAATTAATAGCTACTAATTACCAGGGTAATAATATTAGCACTTTCTAAGCACTTCTTATCAATGCGTAATGTTAGCAACATCTTGCCCTTGGGCAGGACAAATGGAAAACTGTCTATGTCTTTTGCCGAAATGCTAGTAATTTCTGTGAAAACGCACTAGGGTACAGGAGACAATCATTTATGTTTAAGAAAAGATGGCATCATTCCTAATTGTATGCACACATTGGTGGTGTTGAACTCAATTCCTATGAACAAATGAAAATGTGGCTCATCTGCATCCTGCAGTAAGTGGGAGTGTGGAGGCAGTCGGTGGTGACCCAAACAGGAAGCTTCCTCAGCTGTGAGTTGATGATGCTTGTCAGCTTCCCTGACCCCTGGTTCTGGTCTGTGACTGACATCTGCAGGCTCCTGCAAACCTGGGGCTCTCTTCTGATGACTGGTTCTCAGAATTGGATTACAACCAGTCAGACATTAACTGCCAATTCCTGCAGCAACTGAAAACATCCCCACATCACCTCCACCACTCACGGCAGACAGAGCCTTCTGACCAAAAAGTGCAAGGTGGGCATTTTGAACCCGACAGTAATTCCTGAATGCAGTCTGGGGCGGTTGCTTGTTGTTCAGACGGAGGAGTACAAAGGTTCCCTTCTCACGGGATTTCCATTCCAGACGTCCCCTCAAGAAGAGCTGTATTCCTGCAGTTCACTCAGAACTGTGAAGGGGATGCGGGGCCAGGGGGTGGGGTGAGGTGCAGGATTTTGCTGCCTGGCCAGGGTGGTGGTGGTGGTGGTGGTGCGGCTGAATGGAAGGTTTCTCTGTTGACCTTAAATATCAGGGTTTTCCAAAGTGTCTCCAGACTCAGCATTTCTGTTGGCAATTTTTTGAATGGTACTGGTACACCATGCACTTTGATTCCCCCAGGTGTGTGCCAGCAAAGAACCCTGGAGCATTTTAGGTGATGGATGCAGAAGCAAGCTACCTGCTCTTAAAAAAAAAAAACAAAACAAAAAAAAAACCCTTAACTCCCAAAGTTATCTTCTTTCTCTTAAGTTATAGCAACCATCGTTTACAAGAACAGAATGCAGTTAGAAGGAAGTTCTATCTAGAGAAGAGCACCCATAAATTCTCATGGATGCAAGCAGCGGGCATTTCCTGCTTGGGAAAAGTGCCGTGTCCAAGACCCAGTCAGGTACTCTTCATTTCCTTTCTGTATAGCCCAGATTAAGAAAATAGCTGAAGTTAAATCTGTGTCTCCCAGATCTTTTGATCAGATGGTATCCAGAAAGATCCCAGTGCGCTTCCCCGGCCTCATAGGCACTCCCCGGCCTGGCTCAGGCCCTCGTCGAGGTGGGGTCTCAGGTGCTGTGTAGGTACCAGCCTGCCAGCCGCTGCCTTAGAACACAACAGAATGCTCTTGAAGCATTAGCAGCACTTTGTGAAAGTCGTTAGTGGGAATTAAGTGGGAACAGTATCTCCAACTTCTGAATTCCTGTTTGGATTTAATTATATTATTTATACTTCATGTCTTGGAAGCAAATTTTGGAGACAATAGGGGTGCCCATTATAAAATGATGGAAAGAATTTAATTTTGCCTGCTTCAATTTTTGGTTTTCTAACTTTGAAGTGATTTAAATTTCAAAATTAAGAAGGAAAAAAAAAAAAAAACTAGCCAAGACAGTGAAATTAGGGCAGGTCTGTTTCATTTCTGCTCGTGAAGGATTTCAGCAGAGGGTGTCTTCAACCGTGTTTGTGCATCTTACACAGCAAGTTGCCTCTTTTCTGTTCTTTTGATTTTTTAATGTAAGCATGTCTGTTGATCACATAGCTGTTCTCTGGGATTACATGCTATGTCACATCTCCCAGATCTGATTCTGATTCTCGGTGTTGGGGAAGAAGCCCACCCCTTCTTCCTGGGGGTGGCCCTGGGAGTCTTGTGTCCATTCGGCTTGTAGACTCAGGTTGCCTTCAGATACTGGGACGGTTTAGCCAAGACCTCGACTGAGGTCCCAACGACACCACTGCTGAAGGGTTTTGGGGTAGAGGTGATAACCAGCAGAAAAACTGAACATCTGGGTGAGTGCCACACCCTGGCAGGACAGTCCTGGAGAAAAATCAGTTTGGCTTGGAGGGTTGTTGATTCTGACCTGGTCCTGGCCCTTGAGTCCCTTCACTGATGGTGGCTGACTGCAGTGGACCATTTTGGGCCTTGAACACTCACTAGTTTCCCAGATCCTCTTGGCCTTATTTTGAAGTAGACTTCTCCCTAAAGATCATGTTCACACAAGCTGATTTCTTGCTGACCCAAATCATTTCACACTTTGACAGCAGGTCCATTCCGTCTTGTCAGATTGGTTAAGAGAAGCCCAAAGTCAAGAACTTAAGGGGATCCCAAGCAAATACTGAGGTTCACCTTTCACAAGGCTTTTACCCCTTGTTAGTCTGTGAAAGTCTAGATTTAGTTAAGGAAGGCCAGTCCTCTACCCCTTGGGTCTCTGAGTGAAATGAGCCAGGAGCAGATTCTTCACCACGCAGCCTGCCCACATGTCCCTTCTGCTGGCCTGGCTCTCCCTCCCTTGCGAGGAGAGGTCCACCAGCGAAAGGAGATGGCAGGACGCGTCAGTGCTTCTTGATGCCAGTGGTATCTCCGATAATGCTAAGACAGTTAGGTGTTGAAATCGTGGAGGTCATTACACAGAATGATAAAGCAGGACAGGAAGAGACTTAGAAAAAGTCCAAATTACACAAGCAAATGATACTTGCCAGGTTATTCCACCCTTCTAATTTGAGATTTGTATGTGTGTCTGTTGGGAGGTTACCATTATTTATTATCTAACTTCTGCCGTGAGGCTGTGGTTGGGGTTCTTTGTTGTTTGGGTTTTTATATTTAATTTCAGGTGTAGTCACTTGTAAGATGTTATGTAAACGCCCTCAAGAGGGACTGCTGTCTAGCTTGTCACTATTAAATGCGGACTGTGTTCTGAGGCAGTTGCCACCAACCACGGTGAGAGCGACGGATGCGCCTTCTCTTGGGCTCCCTGGTGTGGTGGCCACACGCTCACTGGGACGTGCTTGTGGCCGTAGTACAGACTCACTGAGTGCTTTCGCTTGTGTTGGGGATAGCCACGGCAGGGAGCTCAGAATCGGAATGGCTGTTATCTAGTGCTTTAATTCTGGACAAAAACCACATCCTAATCCTTCGGGGGAATTTCTAGTAGAGCAGTCTTGCCCCCCAGCCTGCCCTCTGCCTGATACGCAGCCCTTGGCTATGGAGCCAAGTTTCAGGACCTGATCAGATCAGCGTCCAGAAGCTTGTCACCCACTTCCCAGTGGAAAGGGCCTCATGTGCAGTGGGGCTGTAGATGACATTTCAACTCTTCTCTAAGTCTAGGCCCTGAAAAGTCATCTTCTGACGTTCACTTTCATCCCGGCTATGAATGAATGGAGGGATAGTGGAGCGGGCCGGGCAGATATGCCCATATGCTTCCTTTGTCCCACTTCCAGTTTCTAGATTGTACGGCTCTTTGAAATGTCTTAACTTTGATGTAAATTTGTAAAGCCAAGCCCTAATCGAAATAGGCTGGGTTTGGGTCTTTTGTACACAGGGTTCTGGACATCCTCACGTGTGCCTCCTGCCGGCGCAGACTTACGCATGTCCAGCCCTGGGGTCCCTTCAGCGGCATTGTGCGTGTACAGATTTATAGGCTTGTATGACTGATTGAATGTACATGTGTTTATATCTTCTATATATGTACAGTGTATATAGTGTGTGTGTACATAGATGTATATATTATGTATACAGACATGTAGCCACGTATCCAAAGTTCCCTTATGTTTTAAAGAGAGTCTATGATAGAGTTGCTAAAGTAAATTGATGTGGGTGTTCCAAGGTCCCTCAGCAGGATGGATTTGCTGATATTTTAACTCCATTTTCCTTAGAGTGAGCCTGGCTGGGAAAGGCCATGAAGGCAGAATCTCCACCCTATGCCAAGGAAAAGTTCCAGACAGAAAAGGTCCTGATAGGAGGACATTGCTGTATATTGTATATTCTCTGGGTCAGACAACGGCCAGAAAGCTAGAAAGTCGAAAACTAGGTGGGGGTCTTTCACCTGGGTGCCGCATGCCTGTCTATAGCCTGACTGGAAAGAACTTGGCGGTTGGAGCTGTTGGCCTTCCCAGATACTTGCTCTTGTCATGTGGTCCAGAGATAGGCCTCATGGTCAGAGATTCGGAACGGTCCATGTGCTGGGGCCTGCCTCCCAGGTCTCCGCTTGCTCTGGACTTAGCAAGCGGTGGGCACTGCCCTGTGACTCAACAGATTCCTATCTCTAATGCCAGTTGAAAAAAACCTACCAAGTAGTCTTTTAAAATAAGCATGAATAAGATAACTTATGGCATAGAAGTTACAAATTTTAAATTACTTCTCTAACTGTAGCATGTGAATAAAATCCACTGACATAAATCCTTTCTATAAATTGTTTTAAAATTTTTAGATAAAAATGGTATTTTAATAAGGCTATTTGTGCCCTTAAAAAGCTACAGATGCCAAATTTTTCTTGTCCAGGTCTGTTCTGATTTTCCCCCTTAATTGGGCTTTAAACTGAGACACGGCACTCGGGAGCCAGGGCCCAGCCCAGCAGAGCTGCTTACAGACCTGGGAAGTGGGGCCTGCCTGGCCGAGGGCTGCAAGCTGGCCCGCTGAAGGGAGTCTCTGGAGAACTGCAAAAACTCACATAATCCACAGGTTTTCTAGTTTTTTGTTGGTGGTGTTTTTTGGGCTTTGGGGGGGTTTTTTGTTGTTTTAAATAAGCTACTGAAATGTTTGAAAACACTTCATTGAGACCGTAGTACTCAGTGCCTTTTGTGAGACGGTGGGTCATTTAGCCTTCAGCTTCCCCTCTATTGGATGTAAAAAAAAAAAAAAAAAAAAAAAAAAAGCTCTTCACTGGCCTCATCCAACAG